GAGTTTTTTGTGCGCTGTAGCAACGTCTTTATATACCCGCGTCGCTTCGCATTTTTGGAAACTCTAAGTAGAAGGTTCCTATCGATAGTTCTCGTTATCGAATATTTCCGTCCTTCTATACTGGAAGTGTTATTTTTCTCTAATTTGCTTTGCCATTCGTGTTTTCCAGTATTTACTACATTATTATACAAAAAATTCATATAAAACTTAAATACCCAAATTATTTCTATTTAAAAATTCACATTAAAAAAATTCGTAGTTTTTAAAAAGCCCAAAACTTGAAAAAAATCTATGTACATTTTGGAAGTTAGAAATTTTTAAAAAGATCAAAATTTTGAATACGTTCAAAATTAAGAAAAAAATCAAGTAAAAAATCGAAATTTTGATTAAAGTTCGAGATTTTGAAAAAAAAAGTTCGAAATTTAACAAAAAAAATTTAATTTTTTCTAAATTAAGTATAAAACTTGAAACTTTGATTTATATGATTTCGGTTAAAGCGTGAAAACCATTGTGAATATTACAAACGAAAAATCAAATCAAATTTTTCAAAATTTTGAAAAAAGTCAAATTTTTTCGAAAAGCTAAAAGTCCAGGAAAAAGTTCGAAAGTGAAAGATCGAAATTTTGATAGAAGTTCGAAATTGAACAAAAAAAATTTAATTTATTCTGATTTTTGTAAGCAGTATGAAACTGATTTGTATGGTTTGGGTTATAGCGTCAAAAACATTGCGAATATTACAAACAAAAACTGTATATTCCAGCTATATAAAGCGCTTAAAAGACTGGCAGTGGGAGGTTAGTACTAACTCTGGCGACTTTGTATAAATAATTTGAAGTCAGCTTAGCGCTTTTTACCTGCCAAGCAGTAAATTTACAAGACCTCAATCGATTATAAAACCTACAAGCTAACGAAACTTTTTATTTGAATTAATTTCTGTTTTATTTATTTTAAAGCATAATATTTTTCTATGAAAACTCAAAAATTTTAAACAAAGAGTCCATAAATAGGTAATTCGAAACTTGTGTGAGGAAACATATTTGTGAACTTATTTGGAGTTAGATACTTCATTTTTTTCCTTCAATTATAAGTCAATATGAGTAAAAATTTCTGAAGTGGCCCCCTCATTTTTCATGAAGTT